AAAGCAGCATCGCCTCTATCCGCTCTCCTTATCCTTAGGAAGACCTGTAGACTAAAGTGGGACAGAGATATGCTGCCGTCAGGTCACCACCTTAGGCGGGGCTTGAGAGAAGAACTTGCATGTGAGCCCGGTGGTCTATTTTCATCCATCGTTATCGACAATTTACTCCCAGATTATGGTTTAAAAAAAGTGGTTGAACAAAATGCAGTCTTGTCACCTTGATACTTCTAATAGTATATCCCCACTCTGTGTAATCCACCGGTTCAGAGAAGTTAAAAATTTCGGTAAACTTTCCTTTAACCTCACACACACCGTGCAGACACGTTCACACACGTGACGTCAAAGTCCGATGACACGTTGCAAATTAGTGGCTACAAAGTCAACAGATTCCCTCACGAGCTGATTTTATTTGAGAATCTATTAGGGAATCTATTAAGGAGAGGACATTATTCTGGATGATTCAGTTTCCCCCGCCTCAGGGAGAAACCTCAGCTCATGGCACTGAATGACTAATCCTATTTGCACTCCGCCCTGCGCTTTCAACACTCAACACTCTTCCAAATTGAAAATCTCCCTCTCATCTCCGGCTTTCTTTCACCTCAACTTGATTTTTGTTTTGTAATGACTCCCTCCGATGACTAGCTCCTAACCTGATCACCCTGATCTTTTCTTCACATTGTCTCCCTCTCCTTCATATTCTATTCTTCTTTCCCTGTCATCCCGCCTGTCGGACTGACTGGTGGCAGCTCCAGGATTTCTGGACCGGAGGTGGAGTGTCTTGGTTTAATTAGAGAACTGTCCATAGTGAGAGGCTAATATGTCATTTTCAAACGTATCTCAAAAAAGGGACAAAGTAGATGACTGGCCCTCACTTGTTGCTCACTACATTTTTTTTTACAAGATAATCCAGGAACTGATTTCTACACAGCGACTTCATCATGTGGATCATGTACGTAGCGATACTGTGCAAATTCAGAAAACGTCTTCAACGTCATCAATTCGTCAACACATACGCTGCGAATACACACAACACAACCAAATGCACAAACGCACATCATTTATGTTGCCTATGTGTGTTACTGGATTTACACAAGTGGCTGAAAGATGAAGCCAACAGCGAGTCAATCTCCATACACTCCCGTGTTAAAAAGCCAAACTTAACAGCAGAAACAAATATGTTTACAGCCTGGTTAGAAAAAAAAGAAAAAAAAGTTTTGTCTCTTTAGCTAATTTCCTCCTTCATGAAACTGTCTCGGCTCCAGCCACAACATTTTTTGCCCATTTTTGGATTAGCCGGAGGGAGGCGGAGGGAGGCGGAGGGAGGCGGAGTTAGGCGTCTGCCAAGATGGCGATGGTGGATCTTCAAAACAGCTATTCAGAAACCTATGGGTGACGTCATGGATTTTCTCTCTTTCCTTTCATTTTTAATTTTAAATCTTTTTCTATTTGTTCATTATCTGTCCAGACTTTCCAATTATTTACACATTTTCTCTCCACTTTTTTCTCTTTTCCACAATAACAATAACTCTCTGCCTCATCACTCTTTGTATCTTCACCTTCTCTCCTGAATATCTCCCACCAGTCTTTCCTCTCATCTTCCTCACTTCACCTGCTCTTGACTTTTTTCCCCAGTTATTCCTCACTCATCTCTTTTTGTCTGCCCCCCCCCCAACTTCCTCTCCGTCTTTTCTTTCCTCCAGCCTGTGACCAACAACAACCCGTGGATGCTGCTCTACTTCATCTCCTTCCTCCTGATCGTCAGCTTCTTCGTCCTCAATATGTTCGTGGGCGTGGTGGTGGAGAACTTCCACAAGTGTCGGCAGCACCAGGAGGTGGAGGAGGCCAGGCGCCGCGAGGAGAAACGCCAGCGCCGCATGGAGAAGAAGAGGAGAAGTAAGAGAGTCGGAGAAGGAGGGTGGGGTAAAAAAGTGTGGGAGAACTGAGAACAATGCTTGGAAAAAAAGGGGGAGTATAAATAGTGTGTGTGAGGCGGGGTAGATGCCTAGAGGCACAGGAAGGAGAGATGAAAAATGCAAAGATTAGGAAGAAAAATTAGGGAATTGAAAGAAGAAATGGAAAGTTGGGAGAGGAGGAAGGAAAGAGGGGGTGATAAGGAGGATAGATGGGACGAGTCAAGGGGAATAAGGATCGATGGGACGGAGGAGGACAGATGGGACACCCAAAGCTCCTGGGAGGGAGAGAGGAGAGCAATCACAGAGCAGAGATATCATTATTATTCCTGTCTCGTCTGCTTTTTTTTTTTGAGTCTGTGCTTTTGTTTCCCCGTTCATCTCCTCCTACTTCCCTTCCCTTCCACATCTAAACTCCTGTTTCTTCACTTCACCATTTATCCATCAATATCTCTCATTCAAATCCCTGCTTGTCCTTGTTTTCCTCTCTCTTCACCTCTTTCCCTGTTAAACTTTCTCCCTCTCCAGAGGCCCAGAAGATGCCCTACTACGCCTCCTACGGCCGCGCCCGCCTGGCCATCCACACTCTGTGCACCAGCCACTACCTGGACCTGGTCATCACCTTCATCATCTGCATCAACGTCATCACCATGTCTCTGGAGCACTACAGCCAGCCACAGGTGACCGCACTTCTCGCCGGAGCTGGAAGGACAGTCGCGGGCGTGTGGGTGTGGGTGTTGGAGTGAGACAGACAGACAAGACACAGCAGACTTGTTTAAGTGCTTCTGAGTGGGTGGTGATGCACCATCTGGACTTTTTATTTTTTATTTTTTATTTTATTTTTTTTAAGTGGGCACTCCCAGAGGCAGCCTGCCAACCTGCTGCTGTGAATCAGCAGCAGAAAACAGCCAACAACCAAAAACATTCATCCACGTGCTGGAATACAAGCGCTCTGGCAGATCGGGGGGGGGGGTATTAGTTATGTAAAGTGTTTTTCAGAAGCAGAGACGCTCAGGAGGCAGAAATAAAATCAGCTTGTGTTAAGAACGTCTTAGATAAATCTCAGATGGATGCTATCAAATAAATGAAGGACAGTTATTAAGGCTATGGGTTACTGAGGGTGAGTATAATTACATTTTCCGTGCCGCCCTGCTGAATAATACAACACATCACACTGATATAGAATAATCTATAACTTATTTCACGCTTTATTATTTCTTATTCAGGAGGAAATGGAATAAGACGCTAAAATCAAACAAGTGAAGGATTTTCTTTCTTTTTTTTTCTTATTTTCAACATTGGCACTGTTCCCCGTCACATTTCTAACCCGCGGCTGTGTCCTCGTGCAGGCTGCACATGTCTTGTTTTGTCTTGAGGCTGCTTGTTTTGTCTGGAGGCTGCGGTGTCTTCAGTGTTCAACCGAATTTTCACTGCTCTTAAAACAACAATGTGCCTGTGCTGAAGGTACAGGGTATTAGCAGCTTAAGCGGCTGCACTGAAGGCGACCCCCGCACGGCTCCACAGTTAGCGTTAGCTTCTCAGTCTGCTAACATTTGGCTTTTACCAACTACTACTGTTTTGAGCTGCCAGTGACGTCTGCAGCTGTACTGCCCACACAGCCGAGTGAAAGACCTGCAGCTTTTTATTCCTACGTAACACCAGACTGAAGCGCACTGAAAACAACAGAGGAGGAAAACTGGATAAAATGCTGTGACGCAGGTTCGTGCTGCTGCCGCCCGTTGAACCGGGCAGTAACCCTGAACTGGCCTTTGACTTCACTTATTGAGGATTTTGACAGCCAATTATTTTTGTCTCCGGAGCAGCTCTGCCTGAAAAAGCATTCCTTATATAAATATGTCTTTATTTAAACTCAAAAACCTTTATTTACAATGATGTCAAGTAGATAAAAATACCTGTTAAAAAAGAACATCAATTAAAACAAACATAGTACAATAAATAAATAATGTAATGACAAGAATCAATATATTGATTATATATACAGTATATATATAAGTACTCAAGTCTCAGTTTACCTTCTTTAGATAAAGTATAGGGATAAATTAAAGGAATATTTTGGGGAATGTCGAGAAGAAGACTGATGCCACTCTAGTGTTTGTGCGCCAACTATGACACAGTGACTAGACGTCCTGATTCGTCCAGGATTTTCCCGGTTTCCTGTCAAGACAGTAAAAAGTCCCAGTTTTCATCAGTCACTACCAAACTGCCCTGGTTTTCAGCTCTTAGGCTGCACAGACGTTGCACTTCCTGTGTTTTTGTGTTTAGTAGTGTTGTTATATATTTTTGAAATTAACTATGTTTTAGTGATTTTTTTAAAGACAAAACATCATTTTCTGTTTGCTGAGGCACTGAGGTCGCTTGGTGGACTAAGTGCTGAAATAATCGTCCCACATCCTAATGAAAACTACTGTTTATGCAATGTGCATGAACACGTGTAGGGTCCTGGGGTTTGAAAACAAACTATCATGAGGGTGGTGTCGGGCTTCTCATTGAAATGTTCTGCCAAAATAGTGAATATGCAAAACAGTTCCTTTCAGCGTGACTGTGGCTGTACAGCATCAGTAGGCTGTGTGAAGACTCTTCAGATGGATTCACCTTTTGATTACGAACGTGTGTAAAAGATCCAACTCTCTGAAGATGCAGAGCCTTTGCTAAGGATCACATTTTATTAATGAACTACCAATACCAAAAGCCCTTTAGAAAATGTGCAGTATAAAGTAAACAAACCTACTGATTTGAATGTAGAAGCATATACTGCTTCTCATGCAGTTTGCATCAATCTACAGTTGGACTGCGATATGATAATAAGGTTCAATTACGTGTATTGAAGATTACAGGCTTTTGATTCATGTAGTCTTTCTCTACCAGACTCATTAATACCAGTGTCTTGGAAGAAGAAAAAAGTTCCCTGTTCCTCCCCAGAGTCTGACATCATTTAGTTGTTTGTCTCAATTAAGCTCTCTTCTATTAAAAGAGATTCATTGGCAAGATACTTTTCTCACATTGACAAAACAGATCCACCCAACAACAACTCTCATCCGGACTTGTGAGGTTGTTTTTTCTCTCTCTTCCTCTCTCAGCTGATACAAAGGTTCTTTTATTGTCATGGAAAAAAAAAAACAAAAAAAAACGTTGAACAACAAATCCATTTACAGTATCTTAGTGTGGACACAGAAGTGGTGCAACAAAGGATGATTCATTAGTTTATTAGAGCTAAGATCAGAGATAGAGACAGAGGAAATTAACTGTCTGATCCTGCTGCTGTCTCCTTTTTTCTTTTTTTTTCTTTTCTAACCGTTGTCCCTCTTTAACCCCTGTTCCTCCCTCAGTCTCTGGAGACTGCACTGAAGTACTGCAACTACTTCTTCACCTCCACCTTTGTGATTGAGGCCTCTCTCAAACTGGTCGCCTTTGGCTTCCGACGCTTCTTCAAGGACAGGTATTAAGGAGACACTCCAAGCTGTAATGAGACTGAATATATTTGTGTTTATGATGCATGCGAAGCTGCTGTTGTCTGTGCCAGTATTTACTGTCTCCTCACAAAACCCCTGCACATTTAGCATAGTATTAGTATCAGTACAGTAGGGTTAGGGATAGCAGGGAGTGTATAAACTCTCTTAATCAGGATATAATTCTTGTGTTGCCCGTTAAAATATTTGCGATACCAAATAATAGTGAGGTGTAGCCTTAAACTTCAATTCTCTGAAATCCTGCGATGTGTGGGATTGGTTCAGCCTTTTGCTGTGATGTGGACCGAAAACATTATTCTGAACTCTTGTTCTAGATTTTATGTACGTTACAACTGTCACGTTATAATATGGTCGTAAGTTCTGAGAGTTGATGGGGGAAAAAAAAACAAGATCACAGATTCAAATGACAAAAAGACAAAACTACAACATCCAGCCGGTGGTGGTGATTACGCTTCAGTCGCTACGAGCAGTCATTGCCTTGTAAAAGTGGATAGTGTAGAAAAACAAATGAAATACTCTGCCAGTGAACATTATGCATCATCAGAAGATATTTTCTCATCGTGTTGATAAAAAGCATAACCCCAGCAGCATTTCGTCTGCTTTAGAATAATGTTTTTGCTGATACAGATGTGTGGTATGTGAATATCTTTTTAAATTCTTTGATGGATATAAGGTCCTACATTTTATAAAGTGAGATTTCCAAGTCTTTGTTGATTATAGATCAGGTCTAGGTTCTATATTAATACTGTGAAAGTATCAAAGCGCTCAGTCCACAGTCCGTCAGAACTTCTGTGACTTTGTGATGTCACAAAAAAGCAGTCACTGCTCTCAGCCACTCCCCAAGCCCCGCCCACCTGGACCCACCATCAAACCATCCAACAACCGACCTGTTGTTGCTAGAGCTCCCGAGAGAAGCCAGAGAGAGGAGATGAAAACTACACTGAGATGGTTTTTGGTTTCAAATAAAACACAGAAGTGTAAAATATGGGACCTTTAAATTTTAAGTTTACGAAAGCATTTAGATCTTAACACCAAAAGATTAAAGTAAATGATTACACCTACATATTTGTCTACGTCTTCTCTCCATGCTGTCCCCAAACAAAGTGGTGATGACGTTACTCAGAACTATATGTTGAATTATTGTTTTTTTAACGATAACTCATATAAACACTGTCTTCACTGTGCATTAGACTGAATAGGCTAAAAGACTCACACTGAGGCTTGTGCAGGAGCAGAAACTCTTCTTAATTATTGTAGATTTCAACTACACACAACACCTCAACAATCATCGTGTACAGGCCTGTGGAGCAGCTGCGATGGCGTTGGTGAATATTGTTTGATATTCCCTAATATGTAGATTTTTATTATTGTAGCTTCCGATCCATTTTTAGAATTGTGGATCTGCTGGAGGAAATTGCTGTTGGTGACCCCCCCCTCCCCCACCTCCCCCCTTTCTTTGCTAAATTATTTCTTCCGAGCTAATTTCATCGTTCTCTTTCTGTCTAGCTGTTTCTGTCTCTGTGTCTCTTCCTCTTTGTCTATTTCTCTTTATGTAAACAGATTCATTCATAGTCATATTATTCCGTCTGTCCTTTGTGTTTTTTCTGTTTTTTTCTCTCTATCCCTTTATCTTTTCCAGCCTTTCCCATTCTATGTTTTTTGGAAAGCCCTGGATTTATAAGGAAACACCGTTGTGTGTGTGTGTGTGTGTGTGTTTGCACCCTGTAAGCTCGATATGTGCCAGTTCTGCTGCTCTGGAACTGAGATATTATCTAGGACGAGATACATTAACTGTGGAGGAACATACCCCAGGCAGCAATTTTGCAGTAAATTGAGTTAAAAGTGAAAGAAACTTCACTAGATTGAAAAAAAAAAAAAATGGGGAAATGTGTGTTTAAGAAAGTGTAACTGCTTTTTAAACTACTGTGCTTACTTGCCAAGAGGTGACATGATACTGTGGCTTGGATGAGGGGTTTGACCGAGGCTGGTTTTGACAGTTGGACAGTTTTTCTCTCTCTCTCTCTCTCTCTCCCTCTCTCCCTCTCTCCCTCTCTCCCTCTCCTCTCCTGCTCTCTCACAGTGCAGCCCCAGGGGGCCAGGTGAAATCAGTCAGTCTACTTTACGAGGCCACATTTGGAGACTGCTGAGCTTAGAATTTAAAGATACCTGGAACACCTGTAATACAGACAGTAGAGCAGGGTTTCTCCACTAATCTCCACTGACCCCCAGCACCTCCTGTCCAACAAGACACTGAACCCCCAGTTGCAGCTGATGGTCAGGCCAGTGCCTTGCTAGTACTGCTGTATAAATACAGTCATTTTACAGTTTACAAGATGAGCGTGTGGATGCCGCAGCCTGTCAGGAAGTTGTAGGTCTCTCAGCTGATTGAATGTCATTAGTAAGAATGTTTTTGAAAGTGTAAGTGTCTCATGAAGGTCAGCGTGTAGTGCCAGGGGTTTTATTTCTCTCTTTTCTTTTTTTTTAAATTAGAAACTGAAGCAGGTCTGTGTGATGGAACGAATGGCTGCAACTGAATAAGGAAGCTGTCGTACCAAGGTGGACTCGTGTTCCACAATACACAAGTGTTTAACTAAGTGAGATGGGCTGCTGTAACTAAATTGTGTCGCTATAATTGTGTCACTGGAAATACGTATGAGGTCATCTGTCTGGCAGTGTATTGTTCTGTAAATTAACTGAGAAAAATTGGTAAAAAAAAAAAAAGTAGCTGAAGGGGCAGAGTGCATAAACATTATAATAAAGCTCACGTTAAAACACAAAGCCAAACAAAAACACAAAGAATTTATAAAGAAAATAGAAAAGAAAGTCTCTTAGAGAGTGAACAGTGAATCGAATGACGAAATGTGAGTCACTTTATTGTACATCCTTGCACACTTTATCACCTTTCAGGATGTGAGTGGATGTTTTCATCATCATATTGGAAATTGATTTGCTAAGATATTGCAGAGCTTGTTTGGACGCCTAAATGTCAGCTAGAATAGAAGTATATCTTCTACCACCGGAACACGTTCATTATTGGCCACAAGGTTCACAAATATTCCCGTGTCTGATGTTGATTCGAATATTCAAATGAATTTAACTGCAGCTGCATAATTTTATAACCCTGGTGGTATCTCCTGGAGCGCTCAGGAAATCAATCTTTTGACCTCCACAAGTTGAACTCAAAGTAGCAACAGCAGAGAGGCCGTGTTCGGCGTTCTTGAATGGGCTCAGGGGATCAGGTGACATAATCTGTCATCAAGTCAAAATGCAGGTTTCTATGCAGCTGTAAAATGACAAGAGAGAAGCCAACAAGCAAGTAATGTTTCTGAAGCTGCAACATTTGCATAGTAGCCTATTGAAAGTGTTCTTCTAGTATTAATATTAATATTCATGACAGGAGCGGGCCTTCAGGTAATGGTGGGGTGTTACCCATTCTTCTGCCAAGTCAGTTGTGGGAGAATCATGCAAATTACGCATAAAGTTGATGTGGAATATTAATATTCATTGGAAAATTAACATAACACAGACGCTGACGTGTGCAGCCATGAAGTCCTGAACCACACACCGAGCAAATTCATGCTGATTCTCCTTTTCATGCCTCAGATACTTTGTACTTTGGCCAAATTCTACGGATTATAATAGATTAAAAAAACATTTTGTGTGTGTTTGTGTGTGTGTTTGTGTGTGTGTGTGTGTAGGTGGAACCAGTTGGACCTGGCCATTGTGCTGCTGTCAGTGATGGGCATCACCCTGGAGGAGATTGAGATCAACGCCTCCCTCCCCATCAACCCAACCATCATCAGGATCATGAGGGTGCTCAGGATTGCACGAGGTATGCACGCACACACACACACACACACACACACACACACAGACAAATGAGCGCTGTCAAACCAAGATTATTAACCTCAACTGCCGATATGTCCAGGACTGTATTTAACAAAGTTTTGATTAAAAACACACTTTTTCCATAGTTTTATGTTTTATGTTGTTGTTGTTGTTGTTGTGGTTTAAGTTTGTTGTCATGATAAATTAAAAATAATAGACATTCCCACATCACTAATTTCACAGGTTTACAACGTGTTAAATTATGTTTTCTTTCACTAACTGGTTCCAACCGCTTGTACTTTACTGTTTTTTCACTCACTCAACACTTTAACACTTGAGAGACACACTGTGAGATTAAGGGAATGTGAAGGTTAGAGTAATGTCTGATTTTATTTATTTATTCACTTTTTATTTATTGATAAAACCAAAGAACTTATGTTTTTTTTTCTTTCAGCGGTGATAACTTCTCTGTCATCAGCCTCAAGCCGTATGTGAAACAGCATTTAGTGTCTATACAAGTCCCATTATGCATATCTCTAATTCACTTAATTCCAAACCTACTACACGAGTGAGTCCTTTACAGTCCTGTTGTAATCTTAATACTCCCTGAACAAAGGTAAAGCTGATTTTTCATTTCTGTCTTTCACGCTCCTCTTTTTAATACGGCTCTAACTCGTCACCTCGGACCAGCTCTCTGGGCTGCACCCATTCCTCTTAACTTCACACAGAGGAGGATAAAGGCTAATTACATCAATCTAACTTAATCTGCGCCCTCGTACCGTCGCCCTTTGCCCTCCATAAAACCGCCCAGGGGCTGCCGAGTGGACCCATGGGTAATCTGCCAATTAAACAGCAGCCGGTGGTAATTAACAAGCAAGAGGGGTATTTGATGATAAGTGTGAGGGCTACTAGTGACTTCTTCTCACATCATTTTTTTTTTGTTTTATCACTCTATCTGAATGTTAACTAACTGGTGTGAGTGTGGGAAAGAATATGTAAGTGTCTCACAATCATCCACATAGCTGAATTTTAAAACTACTCTGAGCAGAAGAAGAGATTCAGCCACACTGGTTGAATATTTTCAAAGCAACAGCTCCATGTATATTGATCTCTCTACTCACCCACACTGTACGATAATTGATATATAATAATATGTAATATGTCATTAGCTAACTACATTATATTGTGGGTGACAGGTTACATTGCGTTACATGATGGTGGTACATTAGCCAACATTAGCATCTGTTATTTTTCATCCTCAGAGCTTTATCTCTGGTAAATCAATAAAAAAGATGAACACTAAAGCATAAATTCAACCACTGTCTAGCTTCAGTGTGATTTCTCTGTAGTAAGCTGTAAAAAAACATTATGTTTGAAAAAATAACATTTTATTTTGCATTTTTATCTGATAGCCTAATGCTGTTCCCTAATACTGGGGCCTACTAGCTCTACTATGCAATACACAAACAGAGAGATTTAGCTTTAGCCTCAGTATTTTGGCATCTTATATGTATATTCAAGACTTTTTTTTAGGCTTTTTGCTTCTAAATGAAGCAGCTAGAACTGTTTAAAGGTCAGCTGGACTCAACTCACAGAGTTTTAACATTAGCATTTACCCAAATCCACACACGTCGGCTATAATTTAGATTTTTTGTTTTACTTCCGTGTCTCATAAGTTTACAAATTACTGCACATTTACAGTGGTAAATCTGTCACCGTTATGAGCGTGAACTGCATATACTGTATGCTACGCTAGAAAGGAAAGCTCGACACGTGTAGCAACAGTTACTAGGAGGGGCGGAGCTTAGCAAATGGTAATTTATTATGTGTTTGGTATAAATGTTGCTCAAGTAGATAGTTAGCTTAAGGAGCAGTTGGCATGTATAGAGACTTAAAAGGAGATATTTGTAAGTTTTGCTTTTGCTACATAGCCTGTGTTAGCATCAACAGCTGTTTACTTACGCCCCCCTACTTCTTCAGGGCAGCCTGGACGCTACAGTGACTCAATATCAGAACATGATGAGACAGTCCGACCGGGCCGGGGCTAACGGGTTAGCATGCTAACTTCAGTAGAAGAAAAGAAATAGAAGCAAAATAAGAGGCTTGTTTTCCGTCACTGGAGACAGCTCTTGGTGAGTAAAGGAATGAAGTTTGATGCTGAACTTGCAAAGCTTCTTCTAGACTGATAAGTAAACAGCTGTTAAGGACCAGGGACCATAGGTGCCATAAGTTCCATTAGAGTGTAAATGTTTGCGTTGCCACAGCATCTCAGTAACCATGACGACACGTTGAATTATGATGATTACAATTCAGAACAGTGAGAGACATTTTCAGGCAGAATAAGAATCAGAGTTAGAAAAAGATCTGCAGTGGTGCAAAACAAAGGTTGAAAATTACTAAATAAGAAAAAGGCGCTGAGTGTTTTTCTCCTTTAATATAAAACCTCATTCAGACATTGATCAAAAAGTTAAGTTCCAGCTTCATTTCTCTTGTTTGTTTATCTTTCACTTGCCCACACCACTTTATATTTTAATGTAATTTCAGACTAGTTGGGAAATGGGAAACATAACTGTCATCTCGACTATAAATCACAGAAAGTTTTTTCTCATTGTGAATGAATGCTGCAGGAGTTTTCAGACACGTTTGACCACTTGGGGACATTCAGTACTGCACACATCACAGGGATCGTTTGTCCCTCCGTAGCAGGAGGGTGACATGACATGCAAACACGAACCAACACTGGAACCAGGCTTCTTCAGTTTTTCTCAAAAGGTTCCAGAAAATTTGCTTTGCTTTGGAAAAGGCATCAATTTTATCAAGAAAATATCTACAGGTAACAAGTTCTTCATCTCCAGCTAGAACTGGATAGTGATTTAAAGTTGCTGCAGCCATCCACCACCACCACATCCACCCTCTCTCTCTCTCTCTCTCACACACACACACACACACACACACACACACACACACACACACACACACACACACACACACACACACACACACACTCTCACTCACTCCTGCTATCTACCCATCCTGAGAGAAGTCCACCTCCCAGGAGGTTTTATTGTCTGAGCGGCCGTTGCCATTCCTCAGCCGAATACAGCCGTGGCTTTTTCCCTCCGCCAGCGGCCACATCGTCAGCCGTGTTCGTCCAGAAATTGGACCGATGAGAATTGTGGAGGGTCTCTAATGGAGAGTCGGGAAACCTCTTCCAACTATCGATCGGTTGTTTTCTTTTTCTCTCTCCTCCTCTTCCTCTGCGTACTTCTTATCTATCTTGATTTCACCCCCCTCTCTGTCTCTGTGGTCTCTTTTGTGTTTCTGCCCTTTGTTTCACTTTCTCTCACTCTGTAGGTGATGTCTGTTGTTTATCACCCAAACGCACATGTCCAAAGTATCACACACACACACACACACACACACACAAACACACACACAAATGCACTGTTTGTGTGGATATTATAGTTGTGTGTGATCTCTCTCTCCAGTGTTGAAGTTGTTGAAAATGGCAACTGGGATGAGAGCTCTGCTAGACACAGTGGTCCAGGCTCTTCCTCAGGTATGTGTCATCACACACACACACACACACACACACACACACACACACACACAGACACCCTCCCTGAGCTTATCACAAGGACACACAGGAGTTAATTAACATTTGTGGAATGATAAACGGCCGCGATAGGAGCTCCCTGAGAATTAGGACTTTCAGGAAGTCGGGTTATGACCACGTTTTTGCCCCCAGTGTTGCGACACCTCGCTAACTTTCCCCCCGCTCCTCTCGCTCATTCGGGGGGAAATTAAAGACCTTTGTGGCGTTAATGTAAGATTTTTCATACCCACCACTTGTTAATGAGACGAGCAGCTAAAAACTCCCGCTCCCTCGGTAGACGAATAGACTTTTTATTCTTTCACCTTTGCTCGGACACATATATATTAAAGTTTTGCCTGTCCTGGAATTTGAGGAATATTGTGGAATTTTAAAAGAGCTGTACAACAAGGGAAGTTTAATTTAATGACTCTCTAAGGAACTCAGTAAATGTCTGGATTTTAAAAATAGAATAATCTATGAGAAGGTTTTAAATAGTGCGGGATCATGGGAGTCCTCTTCGCCACCAGTGCTGTAAGTTTCTCCTGGTTTGGATTCCGTCAGTGTCAGTCCTTCAGGAGGTTCAGGAGGAGGTGAACTGTCCTCAGTGGTCTCCTCCTCTCCACAACAAACAGACCAGGGGATTAAATCCGGTAGAAACACTGAATAAAGCAGTTTCACTTTAAAAATCGGCGATTCATCGACGCAGTTCAGCACACACACGACGTCTTGGAGTATTTGCTTGGCTTTTTTTCTCTGATGACTTAAGATCCAGACCTCCGATGACTAAAATTTCTCCATCTGGGTAAAATACATAGTTGAAAACGACCAAGGTGTAAAGAGTGTATCCTGAAAATGTGACTTAAAACTAGATAAAAGTTCATCCTTCATTCACATTCACATCCTTCAGTTTTCTCGTGTTTCCCTCCTCGCTCTTGCGTCATGTCAGTATGACCTGTGGCTTTGTCGCTGTCTAAGCCTCACTTTATCTTCATCTGCCTCCCTTCATTCAGTTATTAATTAGCTGTGTTTGCCATGTCCTGAGCAGCAACTGTGTTCAACGACAAAGACAGATTATACACAGAGACCAGTTAGTGGCAGAGATGGTTTTTGTCAGACAAATGATAGAAAAGCTTTGGGGACTATTGGTTTGATAAATGATTGAATGGATTAGAACTGGCTCTGTGATGGTCTGTAATTAAACATGTCTGTCCTACCAGAGATTTCATACCCAACGCCATTTAAATGTGCAAATGGTGGAGCAAACCAAAAACTCTTGTCAGTCTATCTCTCAGTACTGTCTGACTTACCTCGTCGGTTTATGGCTCTCAAAAACAAGCGATTCTTTCCTACTGGAGACGTACTGTACATCTCTGAAAATGAATCACAAATCCATACTTCAATATTTCTAATAAGGCTTGATTATTTCCTAAAACAGCTGGGGAACTGTAGATCTTAGCTAATGTTACTCAAACAGGAGTAAACAGAAATGTTCAGTTGTGAATTTGGTGCTTTAGGGTTTTTACAACAGCAGGACTGGCTGTGTGTGTGCATGTGTGTGTGCATGTGTGCATGTGTGCGTGTGTGCGTGTGGGTGTGGGATCGACTCAAAATAACTATAATGCCCATGTTTAACATAATGAAGGAACAACTGTGTCATTCATCGACGTGTTTAATAGTTTTAGGACGACATCGGAGCTCTGTGGCTCGGAGGGATAAGCAGGATTTATCAGACTCTGGATATACGGTCGATACTTGTTAGTATGATAGATTTACTCATAATAATTCACTTTGGTCTTGGTCAATATGAAAAATATAGAAATAATTTCTTTGTGCCAGTTTATTGTTTATGTTTTTAGAGGGAGTTATGTGACAATCATTCGCCCCAGCACTTCAGTGCAGCGTCTCTGCTGGTTACCTGGCAACCTCACTGTGACGACTAGACCCCCGGGAAGCCACTGCGACCAGCTGCAACACACAGTACAGAGGCTGAGAACAGAAACCATTCATCTTCACACACACAGACAACAAACATGTGCATTGGCCGACCGCAATAAGAACAAAAAGATTGAATAGTTTCTGGATGTTTTCAAAAACTACAAACAAACATCACATAACGATGTTTGTTTTGGATATTACAATAAGTCCTATCTAACTGCAAATGGTGCTAAAGCTATGTTGCTATGTTATGAAGGTTTACATCTTCTTCTTCTTTTTTTTTAATGTGAAAAAACCAGAGAAAACTACACTAATGGATCTGGACTGGCCGCTCTCTTCAAAACAGCTTCTTTTTTTTTTATTAAAGACATTTGTAATGGCACGATTCTGTGTGCAGCCAGAAGTTGATTTTTTATTTTTATTTTTTGTTCGGTTCTGCTGCATTACCGATGCTCTGCCTGAGCCCTCTGGGAGGAGTTTTGTCTCCCTGATGTTCGAGTAGGGAAAAGCATGTGCACACGCGGAGACACACAGATACACAAATTAAGACACAATAAACGCAGTCTCACACACTGAGGTAAAATTACAGTCGCAGAAAGCCCCCTCCTTCAGTTGAGTCGTACCTCAGATCAATAGTCGCCTTTTCCCATTCACTTTAACTTGTTCTCCGTTTGGACAGATTTTATTGGTTTTGTTGGGTCTTGTTTTTGCGGTGGAAGCTTAGACCACAAACAATATACACATTAAGCTAATAGAGGGGAAGGGGTGGGGTGGGGGTCGCTGGAGGCGCACAAACACAAGGCCGATAGGAAACAATGTTTAATCCAGGTAGGTACCGATGTGAAGACAGAATGTCATGGCAAAATGAAATAGAATAATGTGATATCAAAGAAGACTGTAAATTACCAGCTGTGACAAAAGTTGTTTTGTTTTTTTTCTGTGATTAATTAATGACAACAAAATCTTTTTGCTGATTTTTAAAAAATGTGAGGATCAAAGTATCGAGTCAAACCAGTATCACGAGCTGTTGGTTGGTTCCTCTTAATGTTATTCTGCAAAAAAATGTACTGTCTCACATATATACATACTGTATATCATCACATATCGTCTCCCATGTCTTCAGTCATCATTATAATGCAGAACCTCACCCCAAGCTTTGTTTTTTGGAGACTTCATATTCTGCTGGATTAGTGGGGAAATGAGACTTCAGGAAACATTGTACGTTTTATTTTTTAAAACAAGGGAAAAAAGGAAAAGAGGATCAGGTTTGACTTAATTAACATTTTATCAGCACTTGACTTTTCCCTCTTAGCTACATCCCCAACCAGAAGCAGTGAAGTGTGCAAAGTGAAGCTATTACAAGTGGATGAACTTGCAAAGAAACCAGGAGCACTTCACAATGATGAAAGAGCAGCACAGACCTTGTTCCACGAGCCGATGTTTCAGCCACAGTTTGTCTTCTGAGCATAAAAGAAAAAGGCACAGCATCATTGTGTTTACAGCTTCTGGATGTGAAGAGAATAACCAACCACAGAATTTGAATAATACATCCGTTTCTGAATACAGGCTGTGTGCATTCGTCTGTGGACGGAGCGCTTTGATACGTTTACAGTATTAATATAGAACCTAGACCTGCTTTATAATCAAAAAAGACATGGACATCTACCTTTATACAATATGGGACCTTTAAAATGTATGTTCTTAATCTGGTTGCTTGTTTCAGCATCTACAGTCTGAGGATCCTTTTTCTGCTCCTCTTGTTCTGTATCTGGGAAAAAAGTCACTCTCCCTGAGAACATTTAACCCCCTCCATCTAAAGGCTCCGGTCTTTCACTGGAGTTTGAAGTGGGCTGCAATGACCTTTCATGTGTCAGTCTGACTTGTGTTGCATTATGAACCAAATTATCTACACAAATGCAACAACAACAAAAAAAAAAAAACGTGTCCCAGCATGACACAGGTGACTGTGAGTCGAGGTTTTATTATAGTCTAAATACAGAAAAGAACACACCCAGTAAACAGTGTTAAAGGTTTGCAGAGCAGTGCAGGTTTGTTCACTATGGAAACCAAAAAAAAGGTATAAATATCAAAGTCCGCTCAAACTTCTTTTTCTCACAAGCTTCTGTTGCATAGTTGCCAGCTCTAACGCTTTCATACCCATGCAGCAATGTGTTTGGTATAGCGCAGCGTTTTCATCCCTCCAGGTGTACTTTCACTCTCTGCTTCAGGGATCTGAAGACGCCGCTTGGAGCTTACGTTACGCGCCGCACACTGCCTCAGGGCGAGTCGTATAGCTTTTAATAGTCACCAGGAAACATCAACACGCATGAGCGGGGAGAGACAGAAAGCTGTTCTCGGGCTTTGCTTTAACCCCTCCAAATTTTTCCCAGTCCTCGCTCCCTCATTATTACCTCTCTTTCTTTCCTATTTCACCCTCTCCTCCAATAAAAACCTTTACATCGTCCTCTTCCCTAATCCACTCTCTCAGTTTATTTGCACATCTAATGGAATTCTACCGTCACATATTCAGAGGCCCCCCCGTCGCCTTCCCTGTGAGGTGACTTAGCTAATGGTATTCTGCTTAGTGCCTGCTATTGCACCCCAGGGGGTCCTTTACCCATTTGCATTGCATATCGCTATCTGTGAGCTGCTTTGAGTCTCTGCACAGATGGATTCACCCCCGTTAAGTCAGCAAGTGAAATTTTCCCCAAAACTGTGTAATAGAGTGATTATCCTTGATTTGAGGCAGGGGGGTGGGGGTTTGTTGTGGTTGCTTGGAATTGTGTTTTGCTGTTTTCAGACTATTTCTGATGTGATGAAATGTTTGCAGGATCCTGTTATGTACCTGTTCAATTTCATGACCTTTAGGGCCTTAAATAGAAACATTCAGAACCAAACAAGCATCGCAAATATGCACAAGCAGCAGCTGCAGAATAAGCCTGTTTTCATATTTCATGAAAAGCAAAGGCTCTCTGTTCAGGATGTTGTCCATCCGACTGGGTGGAGAACGCACACAGAGAGATGCTTCTCACAGAAGATCAGACACATCATAGATTATTTAGCAGCCGTAGTTTGTAATATCTTGTCTCCTACTAGATCTTCAGTAAATGCTGTTAACAGCTCAAAAACAATATAAACCAATGGGAACCTGGAATCTGGTGTCAGGAAGTTGTTTTTTTGTTTTTTTTACCCCAGGAGAAAATTAAGAATTCAAGATACATGGACATTTTACACATTTGGGAAATTCAACGAAGAGTGTTAACAATAAAAAATAAATCTGATTTGTTAGCAAATCACAGATTAGGAGCCATGTTTTTTTCTGATGTTTTTGTTGTTGTTGGATGCGACTGGTCAGCGCAGGTGTCATTGATTGTTACCATGGTAACACTGGTCTTAGGCCTGAGTTAGCCTCGGGGTAAAGCGTCTAATCAATGAGAACAAGTAAGACAGGTTTAACGCTACGGATCAGATCTAAAAAAAAAAAAAATCTTTGTGAAACCGACCCAAGCCAGTGTGAGATGTGGTAGTTGCACAAAAATTGAGTAGAATTTAACTGGCGCTTTAAGTGACTTACAGTGAGTGTAACAGATGTAGTATTTACAAAATCCAACCCAGCAGATACCAATCAGCAGAAGTACACCTGATTGAGTCCAGCTGAGAACAATGTACGTATGCGAGTTACCCGTGTTGATATAATGTGAATTCCTCTTTGTGTGACAGGTGGGAAACCTCGGTCTGCTCTTCATGTTGCTGTTCTTCATCTACGCTGCTCTGGGAGTGGAGCTGTTTGGAGAGCTGGGTAAGATTTGCTGCCAGCTTGATGTTGTGATCCTTTTTTAAAGAGCTTTAATTATCACAACACTGTGTGGCTTGTCAGCATTGTGTTTGTTCAGTAGCTAGACTTCTGCCATGCCAGGCTTCTGTGTCGGAGTCTGAGTTTTTTATTCATTTTTTACGTTTTTTATCATGTCCACTGTAACTGTCTGAATTTGGAAAGTCAGAATGAAAAGTTTGACTGACTGACCTTGGCTCAAGATTTATGGTCAAAATCCGTTTTGTACTTCCTGGACGAAACCTGCCGTCAGGTAAATGATATATGATGATAGGTTTATCCAGTTCTATTGCTGTAGGGGGGGAATAAAGGAAGGGCAGGTGCTTCAGGTGGTGTGAAATTATAACCAACCAAAGAATCAATGTGTAATGAACACTGGAGTAAAATGACTCAGAATCCATTAGGCTTAGTCAAGTTTACCGGGACTTTATTCAGGTTTGTTTTGATTCGTCCTCAGCACCACGATTTTCTAATTTAACTGAATCACATGTTCCCAAAACTGTTGTGAGTCCATGTGACTTTTGAAACACACGGTTCTTCCCATTCTTGGATCCAATAAATGTGGAGTCCTCAACCTACTGTCCAGTGACAAATGTGCACCTGCTCTTGAAGAAGGCATAGTGGTTCTGTTTACACCGGTAAAGCTTTCAAATCAGTTTCTTTTGCCTTCAGTGTGAATCCTGTTTTGCGAGATCTGATTCATTTCTAAGGAAGCAGTACGAAACAGACACAACAAAAGCAGACTGTTTCACAACTGTTTTAACCAAAGACACCAATTTAAAGTTGTGATCTCTCAGGTAATCTACGTAGAAATTTGGCATAACCGAGGTTTCGCTCTCTTCTCCCTCTCCTCCCCTCATTATGTCACCTCTCAGTCTGTAACGCCGACTACCCCTGTGAGGGAATGAGCCGCCACGCCACATTTGAGAACTTCGGAATGGCCTTCCTCACGCTCTTCCAGGTTTCTACCGGGGACAACTGGAATGGCATCATGAAGGTAAAGGTTTAATGTCTTCATATCACACTTATCTTGACTTATCTCTTCACATTTTTCCCTTGGACTTGGGCTCTGTGCAAATTCTCAAATTCTCTTGCGCGAGGGTCAACCAGGGAAGGGAGCAGTCTAAAGCAGCTCTGACTGAGAGAATATAGATCTATATTATTTTACTTTTTGAGCAGCGGAAATATATTTTACACTTATCTCAGCTCAGGCAGAAGCTGGGATGTGGTTGTAATTGAAGGTCTTCAGATCACATCTCAGGAGCGGACGGTGTTTGAGTGAGGGAAATGAGTGAGTAATGAGTGTGTCCTTCAGCGGAGGAATAGTGTCGAAAAAGTAAACGTGCACTCAACCAAACCTTTCAAGGACGAATAAAGATTAAAAATTTGCACCGACGATATACGACCATTTGATCCTCCGCGTCACTCTCATCTATCACCTCAATCAACTCTCCAATCAAACCCAAAGCACCTGAGCTCTCGAAACTTCATCACAGCCCATATCCGACAGATAGTTAATCAGCGCTGATTAGGCTCTTAGAAGCGAGCGGCTGGCTGTGGGTGAGAAGGGAAGAAGACAGACGTCAGATTACGGGACGCCGGGAGCTTTCGGCAAAGCGGGAGTGTGAGAGTTTGACAATTTGCAATAAAAAACGACATTACGAATCGCTTCAGTAGTTCTCTTCCGTTAAACACAAAGACATTACTCATCAGATCGTTCCTATAAAAACCGAAACACTAATATTGGTTTATACCTTTTTATTCTAAATTACTCATCCTAAACTCATCACTCTCCATTCATGCTGAAATAATGGGTTGAATTTACCAACTGGTTGATCAACTGGATGATTCAATAAAAGTCGTCCAATCCCCCAATATTATAAGACATGTCAGTCAGCTTCTCAAATGTGATGATTTGCTGCTTTTAATTGTTTTCGATCATCGTAAGTTGGATCAAATGTCTTTGGGGTTTTGGAGGAAACAAAGACTGTGATTGAAGTTTTTCACAATTTTTTGACATTGTATCGACCTAACAAAGACTTTACCGTGAACAAAAATATAAATGCAACACTTTTGTTTTTGCTCCCATTTTTCATGAATTAAAATTAAAGATATAAAACTTGGCTGTTCACAATAAAAGTCCTATTTAAAGTTAACTGTTTTATTTTGATAGAATTATTTATTAGGCATTGATTTGTGTGACTTGAGCTACAGATGTGCGTTTTTATTTTTGGATCAGAAAACGAGTCGGTATCTGCTGTGACCACCATTTTACCTCATGGACTGCGACACAAAGTTGATCATGTTATTGATTTTCGGACCACTCCTCTTCAGCGACTCTGCAAAGTCGCTTGATATTGGCAGGAAGTGGAACGTGCTGTCGTACACACACAGATCCGGGACATCCCAAACATGCTCAGTGGGTGTCATGTCATGCAAGAGCTGGGATGTTTTAAGCTTCCAGGAACTGTCTACATCATGCCGCGACGTGAGGCGATGGCGGCAGATGAACGGCACGACGATGGGCCTCAGGATCTCGTCACAGTGAATCTGTAGAAAACGTCTTCGATCTTTTATTTCAACTCATGAAAAATGGGAGTAAAGACATAATTATTCAGAAAAATAACCAACACATTTACTGATATTTGCAACCATATTATCTCTTCTTTAAATAAACTGTTCTTCATTTGATTGATCTTCACTCCGTCCTCTCTTTCCCTTTTCCTTCCATCTCCTCATATTCTTAGTATTCTTCCATGTTATCCACCACTCACTCTTCCTCTGCTCTTGTCTTGTCTTGATTTCTGTCTGACCCTTCCTTCTTCGACCCCCTAAATTCCCCCGTTACTCCACCACCCACCAGGACACGCTGAGGGAGTGCCCGCCGGGCCATACAGGCACTGACTACGGCTGCCACGCGGGACTGCAGTTCATCTCGCCGATGTATTTCGTGTCCTTCGTGCTCACGGCTCAGTTTGTCCTGATAAACGTGGTGGTGGCCGTGCTCATGAAGCATCTGGACGACTCCAACAAGGAGGCGCAGGAGGACGCCGAGATGGACGCCGAGATCGAGCTGGAGCTGGCCCAGGGCGGCCTCTGCTGCATGATGGGAGGCATCGGGGCCATCGCCGGGGCCACGGGTGGCGCTGCGAGCGGGGCGAGCACCGGCGGGGGAGCGGCTGGTGTGATTGCAGCGGGGACAGCCGGGGGTCCGGGCGCCGGGGTGATGGCACCGCTGCGAGATGGAGGAGGAGGAGGAGGAGCAGGAGGAGGAGGCGGCGGTGCAGCTCATGAGGGACACACCAACCATCGATGTCGACTCTACTCTCCCGCTCAGGTAAGAGGACTCTCTGTTTTATTTAAAGCCCTTTTACTCCCCCTCATGCTGATCCTCGTGAGGAAGCATAACGATGTCATTTCAACTGGTATCTCGTGGTCATTATATCTGACATTCACTGTTTACACCGCAGCCACATTCAGATCCGTCAGTGATCAAACTCATTTGAGGTATTTATGACATAATCATACCTGTCATTAACAGAAAATGAGCACCGTGTGCTCACTGCAAACATTTAATATGTTTAGAAATACATTACCAACATGATGAATTAAATCTCACCCAGGCAGCACTGATTGGGTGATTCGTAAGTTAAAAGACATCCGAGTTAAACCAAGCAAAATCTGCATTAAAGTGAAAGTAATTTAAGGTTTTATATTCCCATTAAAATGACATGTGAACACTTCACATTGAAATACTGTTGAAGAGACTGTTTTGTTTTTGTGCCTGTAAATCACCAGATCACTTCTTACATGCAGGCATTCAGTTGAATACATTCATCTGATCTGCAAGCAGCCGTGTACAGGCTTTGAGAAGATGCTGGTTTCATTGTGAAGAGTAGCACTGACCAAAGAGCGCACGATCCGAATTATTATCACGTCTTTATTTAAACTCGAAAACCCCTCATTTACAATGATGTTGAGACAAACGAGTCAAAAATCATTTAAAATAAACACACAATTAATAAATAGTGGAATGACAAGTATCAATTAAAACAGGTACAAACTGAAATTAAAAGTGAGTTCCAGATTTGAAGGCACTTTTCCAGTAAGGGCCTTGTAAATAAATAAATGCATGTGCAAATCTCACCTCTCAGAAGTGGAAGACTGCATCAAGGGGCGTTAGAGTTCACATATACTAAACTGTAATATCCCACGTCGTGATCCAGTCCTCACCAGAGGGCTGATCGTGTGGGATGATGGGAGATGAGTGATGGGGCTCTGAGACTGGTGGTGTCCTCTCTGCATTACATCCTCTCTGAGCCAAACACATGAATCATCATTCAAAATCACCAATCTAATCACCGACTGCACCGCTGCGTTTCACGAGTAACAGTGTAGCACCACTTCAGATTCAGACACAGCCCGAGAGGTGTTTTATCTTGTTGCTCCGGAGTCTGATCCATGGCAACAGCTGCTGTCTACGCCACGAGTATGGAATTTACATGAAGATAATTCAGCCACTGAGATGTGAAATCACCAATCGATTAACCAGCAAGTCGATCCACTAAAAAAATGAATCAAGAACTACCTAAAATTAACGAGCGGTAATGCTGGTTGACTATTTCCTAATAACTTATAGAAAAAATACTAGAGATCAATAAAGAGAAGAATCACTAAGTGCTGCTCTACTGATAACAACATACTGGGCCTCAAGAAGAGCCAGTCGTACAAACAGATTTGTTTTCTTGAACCGAGGATTTCGTCTCTACGAGCCGTCGCTGATGAGCAGACAGTCGGCCTCTCACCACTCGCTTCACTCGTGAATGATAATGCCTTAATCTGAATTAATATGGAGTTTTTAAAAAGCCCATGAAACGGAAATCAAACTGAAATAAACTTAATGCAAAATGACTATTCTGTGCAGCATCTTTATCTTGGCTTGCCAATTTACAGAGAAGTTCAACAACTTTTCTCAGATTTTATTGGATAACTTTGGCAACTTAAAGTCTAAAAGTTCAGTAGTTAGAAGGAAGTTCTCTCACTGACAGCTGCCTCAGTGTCTTGTCTGTGGGTTGCTGGCAGGTTGCTGTAGGTTGCTGTCGGGGGGAAACTCCTCCGCTGTACTCGACGGTGTAATTTCACCTGCTGTACAGGCTCATAATTTCCTCTCTTGTATCTCTGTGACTGTCTCGTCCCCTCAACCGCCTCCCATCTAACTCTGACCATTCCTCTTTAGCGAAATACTTTCCAGCATCTGACTTCATGTCAAGCCGCTCTCTACTCCTGTCACAGCGAGCTGCTCTCGTGACACGTTGTTGGGTTCTTCTGACACGGCCGCGTCTGTTCGGCTTTTGTCTGCTGATTTACAAAAGTAGGACTTTGAAAACATTTTTTTGTGAATGTTTCAAAGTTTCTTGAATGAAACTTACACAAATGGAGCCAAATACGTGACCTCACATAACAACTGAGCCACGCCGGTTACGCAGGTGTCACAGAGACACGCCTCCTCGGGATGACTGGCGGTCATCGGTTTGAAGCAAGTTATTTATGAGAAGTTTGTGCAGAGAGTTTTGGAGAATCAGACTTGGAACGAGGCCCAATGTGTAAACACAACACATTATGATACTAAACTAAGCACCACATGATTGACATGTTTATGCCGGTTATTTCAAGACTTCATTAACTTCATCTGCAGCATAGAGTTGGTGCCAAACTCTGTGAGGGTGTGCAGCATCTGGAGTCTCTTTTATTCACGAAATAGCACCGCCGCACTTGTGCAAATACAGTGTATTGATGACATGCTAAACCACACACGAGCACAACACTAAAACCTATGAAGAAAACACACACACACACACACACGAATGCAGAGATATTAAATGGCCGCTGTCTCCGCCATTCTAAAAATACCACAGTGGGGGCCGTGGCTCTCATTCTTTAGCTCCCTGATTACTGCAAGTCAGTACAAGCTGCATTTATAATTACACTCACATAAAATCTTAGCAACCGCAGATGAGAACAGGTATTTTTAGAGGTACGCCCTCTGAGGCAGAAAGAAAGAAAGAAGTAAATAAACAGAGACAGAAACAAAGGAGAGGAGGGGGAGATCACAGACATGTGGAAATGGACAGAGGGAAAAAAAATGGAACAAATATAATAAATGGATGGAGAGCAACGGGGAAAGTGAAAGGAGAAGGGTCAGTTGGCAGTTTGGAAAAGTGAACAAGTAAATTTGCTGCAAATAAGTGAATGAGCACACGGCTGAATAAACGAGTGACTAACTGTGTTTGACTTATTGAATGAGTGGCCTCGATGCAGCTTACTGACTGAATGATCGTCTAAAGGTTGTGTTTGCGCTGGAGTGTTTACTCCTTAACCTCACTTTGTGAAAGCAGCGGGCGAGAGTAAGTGCAGAGTAAACTGCAAGCTTTGCTCCTCAGAAGTGACCCCGTAAACACAAACACTGATTAGCAGCGGCAGAGGGAGATTTGTGTTGGCAGCTGAATGTCAGCTGCAACTTGAACAGCCATAACAACAAGTAGGACAACAGGAACAAAGTGAACAATACAATGGAGTCTGGGTTAACCCTCGAAAATCCTTTGAGAACACATGTTTGCACGTTTCTGCACCAAAACAGAAATTAGCATTCATCAAAAATGTGCTTTTCTGGCTAATTTACGCAGAAATTTGGACAAAAAATGATTGAGGAAAGATCCTGAATGTGGATGAGATTGTTAATGAAGCATGTTAAACTCTCCAGAGCTGCATGTGAGTGAACTTTAAAAGAACGAGGCGAAATTAAATCTAATTCTCTGGCCGCTCTGGGGCGATGGAAACAGCACTAACATCTTATCACCTTTGAAGTAAATATGGAAAACAGTTGCTTATTTACACTTTCAGCAAACATGGAGCGACATTAGCTTTGATTAGCCATCACGCTTCTGTCCACCTGATGAATGTGAAGGTCGGATTATGCTAGAAAAGAACTAGTTTGTATTGGCTGTCGGACCACGTCTGAGGGAGACGAGCTGTGGTAATCAGTTCAGTGTGAAGGTAGCGGCGTAGTCTCTTCAGGAAGACGTTGATCTAGTTGTACATGAAACATCGCCAACAACATTGGGGAAAAAATGAGATATTTTCTTTAATATTTGGTGCTGGACAGTTGGTGCAGGATATTTTCATCAGAGCCTTTTTTTTTTTTGCTGAAATCAACTGTGGATAAAAACAACACTGATGAAAGTGTTCGCTGAAAGATGCTGGAAAATATAAATCTATATAAAGATATTGATTACAGCAGCTTTAAGCTAAGTCGGCCGGGTGGCTCTGCACTGAAGCCCGATGCTCTTGCAGTTCTTAGCTTTACGGCTACTTTCGGTCTATTTTGGATCATTGATTCAGTTTTCCGTCAGGATTATGTTTAGAGCTTGTTCCACTGCTCGGAAGTGGCCAAAAAAGTAAATTACTGCGGCTGAAAACAGCACATACTGAAGGGTTTTATCTCTCTGTTGTCAATAGCGACCGGCCCAGACTTGGTGTTATCACTCGTAACACCCAAATTATAAATGTAATCGACCCGATAATCACGATGTGTGTGTCCTCCACCTTAGCTAAAGCAACAGAAAGTAGGATACCTTCCAGCAACAAAACTTTGGTTCATAACAAAGGAAATAAACTTAAAGAGTGACACTGAATCAATGGGTGAGAGAGGAGGGAGGCGGGAGCAGAGAGAGAGAGAGAGAGAGAGAGAGAGAGGCTGACTGTGGATGGGTTGGAAAACGCAAGTGAGATTGCGAGTGGGCGGGAGGGTCTGCCACTGTCTCATTGTGCTTATAGCTTATTGTCTGTCCACCTACTGATATTTTTAACCAGGAGAGGAGTAACAAGACAGATCGCACGTCTTTCTATCTGCACTGCATTTTAAATCTCTGTTCTGATCAGCCGGCAAATGGATGTTTGGATGATGCAAATGTTCGGCCTGTTTTTTTTGTTTTGTTTTTTTAGGGGGTGTTCAGCTTTTTTCAACACAACAAAACAACAAAACCAGAATCACAACTAGTACAACCAGTTACAAAATTAAAAGAAATGTAAAGCTTTGTATGATACTCGAATAACCAACAAGTCCAAAAACGAAATATCACAAACAGTAAACTACATGTTCCGGGTTCGAAACCGACCCGTGGCCCTTTGCTGCATGTCATCCCCTCTCTCTCTCTCTCTCTCTCTCTCTCTCTCTCTCTCTCTCTCCCTCTCTCTCTCTCTCGCTGGCTTTCCTGTCCTAAAAACTCTCTTTTAAAAAGAGGTCGGTTTTCTGTCCACAATTGCATCGTGGGCGAACGTGAGAAGTCTGGATGTTAATTTAGCCTCAACAGTCAACCGTGACAGACTGCGCTGGATCTTACTGACAAATTCTTTGATTAAAAGTTTAAACTTTAAAGTAAATCCCAGCTGTGTCAGATCGATTAAGGGGAACACTTCAGCCTTTTTTACTTCTCGTCTCATGGCCAGTAACAAGTAACAAAAACAAGTTAAGAGCTTTATAGTTTCTACCAAGAGCACAAATCAGCAGTGTATATATTTTATTTTTTTTATATATATATATATATATATATTCCCTTATAGATGAGGGCAAACAAACCAAGAGAAACACATTGCTCATTAAAGCAACTTATTTCAGTCTTATTACTATACACACTGTACACTTTGCAGATAACTCATTAGATTGTCAGCGAGGCTCCCTGTGGAGACAAGTCGCGCATTTTTGAAATAAAATGTTCAGCTCGTCTGAGGAAGTTTAGAGTTCAGAAAAAAAATCTCTGCAGTGGCAAAATAAGAATTTCTCCCTTTTTGTTTCTGCTGTTTCTGCTAATGATGAAGATAAAGACTCTTTAACTTCATACTCACAGAAAACACAATGTCCGTCCAAGTCTTGTACTAAGCGAATTTAAAGAAGGTGCAACATCTGGAATAAGTGAATCTGGCATCAGAATACTGTTGAATGATATTCCTGCTTTTAGACACAGTGACTCCAGCATGGCAGCAGCCATGGTGATTTGTAAACAAAACGTATAGATGATGGAGGAAAAAAAAGGCGATGAAGTGTCGTTATTAGTGAGTGTGAAGTTGCAGGGAACCAGGAAGTGAAAGTTGGAGAGGAAAACATTTACAGAGTGATAAATAATATTCATTTGGATTCAGTTTGACTGATCTGTAATGCAAAACAAACAAAGTGGCCCCCGTGGGTGTGTGTGTGTGTGTGTGTGTGTGTGTGTGTGTTCATTTCGCTCACTCTTCACTCACAGTACACGAGTGTAACTGTGACCTAAACCATGTTTTTTTTTTGTTTTTAACACTTCAAGCCTCTCTTCTTTCATTAACATCTGCATGGTTGTATATTGGGCTGTCAGGGTCTGTCTGAATACTCATGAGAACAGATCCAGTGTCGACACTGATGGACGCGTGTAGCCGCTGCTGCTGCTGAGATGATGCTGCTGTCTTTGTGTGTCCGGTGTAAACAACCAAATGAAGCAAAATTTACAGCCTAGTTCAGGGAGAAAACTATTGTGACATACCTAATGCAACATGTATATCCTATGCCATCATTGCTTTGTGCACTATTTTGCTTCCAACTTCTAATGCCACACTGCTGCTACTGCTGCTGCTTCGTAAAGCGTTTGTTAATCCGCCCCAGCAGCTATGAACGGGTCCAAAGGCTGAGTTGTGCTTGAAAAGAACTAGTTTCTACAACGGAAGGCAGACAGACAGAGGATATATTTAAATATGAGGATAGCAGGACACAACACAACAGGGGGGCTCTGTGTAGCCTCGGTGGTGCTGCCTGTTTTCCAGTACATAAAATTCACACATCAGACCATTATCTTGATCATTTAATTCTCAAAACTTCTGTAAGACCTATTTTTGTGCAGTATTAGTAGTTAGTATTCCAGAAATAGTAAAGTTCGACTTTTTAAAACATCATATTATGAATTTAAGGGGGATAAAAATGTGAAAGTAATTCAGTGTCTGTGGAGTGTCAGTGATCTACAGTGTGAGGTTCGGAGTGGATGAGAGCGTTGCTGGATGTTGGAAACCAGATGGCAGTGCAGGGAATCAAACAGGGTCACGGGCACCATTACCACAAGCAAGGCCCCCAGCTTAGCCAATCAATCAGACGGCCTCAACCCCTCACTGTGCATCTCCTGGCACTCGAAGCAGTGTGTGTGTGTGTGTGTGTGTGTGTGTGCATGCTCATAGGGCATCGGTGGGTGCTGCCAAGGTCCGGCTATCGACTGCGGCTGCCCTCTTCACCTCACACCCGTTAGCAGTAACTCTCATACGCAGTGGAAGAGCAGTAAAGAGCAGGTACTGGAGAGAGGAAGCAGCTTGAACTTTACACATGCAGAACAGGTGAGATAAGGTGGAAAAATACAACTCGGAGCTGAAAATGCAGAAGGATAGGGAGAGAGAAAAAAAAACGAGCCGCCTGAGGCAAGTAAGAGTGAAAATAAAATCAGAAAGACAGAAACACAGTCTGACCTGCAAAACAAAGTAGTTTTGATTTCACATTAAGAGGTTAATTAGTAAAAGAGACAATAAAAGAGATGATGGTTACATTTAAAAGTGCGTATTCACCATTATTTACATATGATAAGCTTATCATCAGTTATCGCTGTCTTCAGGTGGGTGCGCAGCCCTCCACTTGTATTCCGTGCCTCCACCTTCACGCGGCTCTTTGGCTACAAAGGGAAATTTAAGAGCTAATTAGCTACAAAGCTAATGTACCAAAGGAGGCACCAGCTGTTTAAAATGATGCTTCTACTTGAACATCACCTGCTGCCAACTGCTTTTCCTCAACATAGAAAATAGTACAATGATAAAACCTCGTCCACGCCTCGCAAACATGTAACATGTGTACGGTTTTTAACATTGTGCATGAAGTATCAATTACAAGCCAACACATCACATATTTGTGTAATTTTAACCATCAATTTAATGACTGTGATGTTGAACACAAGCAGTCACACGAAGAGACAGGTATTCAACAAACCCCCAGGTTATCCAAAACGTATCTGAAGATGACAACAAAGGCAGCTGCCTTTTCTAAACATCTGTAATACAGCTGTGCATTCACGTACAGTTTTACCTGCCTCAGAGGAAAGCAGTTTAGATGATAACCAGAAACTCAAACTCTAAGTCTTGTTTGGAAAAGGGCTGGATATCGATCTCTGATACTTCTACGGATCGACCAAATTAGTTTTTATAGTATCGAGCATCAAAAAATTGCCTTGTCAATCAATACCAAATTTCGATAGCGAAAGAGTTTTAACTTGAAGACGTTAAAGTGTGTAAAGAGACCGAGCTGAAAACTAAAACCAAATTTGTACCTTAATATGTATTGTAATGATTTCATTATGTATTTATTTAATTATACATTTATTTATTTATTTGTTAAAATGGATTTTATAAAATTGGTACAGAAAAAAAGGTATCGTTAAAACCTGTTGGATTTATTACTCATTCAGTCATAGACATGGGTGGATGGTCAGTCCTTCTCAAATGACAGCAGTGAGGCCCGTGTTCATCTCCATGACACAGAATAACTGAGCTCATATACAGAACGCACAGGCTACACAGTGGATGCATTTTTAACTGGAAGTTTTCATACATGCATTTGAAGAGGATTTATCTCAGAATAATGTCCTGAATATCTTTTGATGAAATGATTGTTTTTTTTTTTTTTTGGTGCCTTGTTATCCATAAATGATCACATAGTCAGTGTCAGAGCTGTGAGGTCTTTGAACGCACAGTACAGACAGATTTGATCCATCCAAATGTTGACTGAGCTCAATTTTCAAAAATATATTTTTTAGGGGAAAAACCTGAACGGTTTAACTGCTCGTCATTTATTCTCAAACGATGCCCTTGCGACCTTTCCCTCATTTGATTTCCTCAGAGCTGCCGACTTTGTAAAATCTTCACACAGGAATTCTGCCAATTACTTCAGGCCCTCTCAGGTTCAGTAGGAATTCTGAACCATCTCCCGCTCGTCTGAAATCGACCGGTGTAAAAAAAAAAATTTTTTACAGGATCATGGAATCAATCTTACAACACTGGTTGTTCATCTCATCCCTCCGGCTCGCGCTCAAACAGGCCGAAGTCACCGATCTCTGTCTTGCACCTGTCAGCAGCAGCTGGAAAATAACGCCAGCTCCAACAGATTGCGGTTAATTAAACATGGCAGGATTTAGTCACAACACGTGTCCTACAAAAGACGGAGGGAAGACAGAATAAGACGTTGTGGGGGAGAAAAGGAGGTGAGATTTCCAGCGGATGAGAAATATGGATGAGTCAGCGAAAGTGTTGTTGCTGTAAAACGTTTAGTAGTGGCTGTAAAATAAGTGAATGGCAGCAACGGTGAGTGGGATGAAATGGAGGAAAGATGAGTTTGCAGAAAACCGTGGGACAGATTGACAAAGTGAGAGAAAGTCTTTGTGTCTGGAGAAACGATAGAGTCTCAGATGATAGAAAAACTAACAACCAGAAGCTGCGGACTTTTGCAGACAGACGTATCTCCGTGGCAGCGACGGTTGTTGCTTTCTTAATACATTGTGTAATTTTTTATTTTTTTTCTAGTGAAAATAGCAGTGACGGTTTATGAAAATAGTTTGACATTTTAGGAATTCACTTGCTTGTCAAGAGTTAGATGAAAAGATCACTCTCATGTCCTCGTAGGCACATATAAAGCTACAGCTAGCAGCCAGTTAGCTTAGCTTGGAAATAAAGACTACAACCATGGGGAAGTATTACTGTATCTTGTTTGTGTAGGAACAACAATTCACTGTTTCACGCAGGACTGTTTCTTGGCCGGGATCAGTTTCTTCCTGGAGTCTCCGCACTGGTTGCTGGGAAATAGTCCAGCACATAAAAACCCTGTAAACCAGGAGACTGATCATCATCTTTAAAAATGTCAAACAGTTCCTTTAATCGACCCACGCAAGAGTCAAAGTGGCATGTTTAATTATTTACAAGCTCATTGATTAACATCGAATCTTGTTTGTTTTAATCTTTATTTTATCAGAAATACAAAGATTACAGTGTGTGTGTGTGCGTGTGTGTGTGAGTGTGTGTGTGTGTGTGTGTGTGTGAGTGTGTGTGTGTGTGTGTGTGTGTGTGTGTGTGTTGCAGGAGAGCCAGTGGCTGGACAGTGTATCTCTGCTGATTAAGGACTCGTTGGAAGGAGACATGATTGACAACCTCTCCGGTTCGGTTTTCCACCACTACTGCTCTCCTCCAGTCTGCAAGGATTGTAAGAGTCATCCACAAGAGGTTAGTCGGGGGCACACACACACACACACACACACACATACATACACACTTCTCCCTTCTCTCTTTTTCCATGTAGCCTAGCTAGCAAGCTATAAATAACTAGCCAGGTTTGCTGACCCTGAAGGAGGCTGGCGTGCAGTCGATACATGTTGGCCTTGTTTTTGGTCATGCAGCCTGTTAATAGAGGCTTTTTATCTTTTCCCTCTACCAGTGAGCACCGTGCTGTAATTCTCCCCTTTTTTTTTGACATTATTAACCGGTACATCAGGAGCTAAGCTGTGCTGCGCTGGTTATATTCTACTGTCTCTATATTGCACCTTATTTCTTCTTCTCTCCCTTTATCACCATGTGTTTCTTCACCTTGCAGCTCGCTGAGCTCAGATAACAGTGGGTGGGATTAACACGAGGCAGCACCTCAGTTGCCAACCTTACAAAATCTGCATCATTTAGAGCAAGTGTTATCATTCGTGGTCATGCTACTACACATATGTGCAAATAAAGGCACATCCTGTGTCCAGTTTAACCCCTTAACAGACGCCCTAATGTTTGTGCACACGCCCTAGAATAATTTACCCAAAATAAAAAGGTTCCTGTTCTTCAGCCGCTTCCATCACAGTCACGGCCCTGGTCTCCTTTCAGGTGACTCCTTAATTTGTACAAGCAAAAGTCAGAATGAGTATAAGAGACCAACCAAACTTACAGAAGCACAAACATGGTATTATTTTTGGGCTAAAACACAGGAATCTAAGGCCTGTAGTTTTACCTTTTTGCGTGGAAAACACTTTGCAGTCATAGCCAAAAGTCTGAACAGCTGTTGAACTCTGTGTCAACAGCTGCTGCGGTGATGTGTGGAGCCTAAAACGCTTTGCGCAGAAAGACTCGGGAGACTTGGAGCTTTGAAACAGTTTACAATTTGCAGAGGTTGTGCGGAGAGTGAGTCGGGTACAAAACAAAACACACCTAAACCGTTTTTTGCAGCATCAAACAATCTATTGTATATGTGACAGTCCACATTCATTCAGAAATAAACAAGGTACATTTTCTTTCTGAGAAGTACGTTTTTCCCAGACATGCTGTAAAACTGAGATAAAAATCCATCTGTTCTCCAGGTAAAACAGCCAATTCATTTAAAAGGCACATAAAAGGCCCCAGATACATCCACACTAAAGGCTACAGCTAAATATTTAAAAGCTTAATACCAATTCGGTCTAAATAGAGGCGTCTGGGTGGCGCAGAGGAAAACATGTGCCCTGCAGCACAGAGACCTCCACCTCTATGCCTGGCTGCACAAGCTGCAGTGCTTGTGCTTGTGCTTGTGCTTGTGTTTGGCTGGGAGCTCCGTCGTCGAACTCATCGAGTTTCTGGCCACACAAAAGCCTTTACAAGTGGGAAGCCAGTGAGGGATCAAATAGTTGCTCGATCGATCCTTCAGTGTACACCTTCCTCAGGGCCACAGTGGAAATTAGCAGGAATAAGAACTGCAGTGCGGGGGGGTGGGGTGAGGGGTGGGGTGGGGGGGTAATTGTGCTTTTTCTTGTACAGCTACAGATACTGACTTGAGAGGAGAAATACTGTGATGTACTTGTTTGTGAAGGTTACTGCCCCAGTGCCAAGTTTTATACTCCACACTTCAGCATCAGAACTATTCACACAAACCATGTCTGCAGAAATAAACAAATCCTGTGTGTGTGTGTGTGTGTGTGTGTGTGTGTGTGTGTGTGTGTGTGTGTGACTATACTATATCACATTAGCCATGGTGTGTGTGTGAAGATAGAAGGAAAATGCTCACGTGAATAAATCTCATGAGCTCTCCCAAAGCACATAGCAATAGTGTGCATCACAAACAACTCCGAGAGGGGACAGACTGTGTGGGTGTGTGGGTGGTCGTGTGTGTGTGTGTCTGTGTGTCTGTGTGTGTCAATCCCACAAACGTACACCGCACAAACCCCACCGCTACATCTGTATCCCCTGGTCAATATAAGATCAAACATCTGAGTGAATCCACATCATCCTCCATTTCCCCAGGTTGTTTGTTTATGGCTCAGTTCACTAGGAAATGTATATTTATTTATATATCTGTATCTGTATCTGTCCCCAGACAGACAGAGCTGTGAATAATCCTACACGTGTTCCAGAGCTGTGGAATCTCCTCTCTTTATTCAACCTGTCGCCCTTGTTGTGAGATAACCCCCTAATGAAAATAAAATAAACTGTGCTACTGTGCTGGAGCAATGTAATATTCCTGCTGTGTTCATAATATACTGAAATACATTATTCAAATACATTTTCATAAATTATATAAATACAAATCATGATTTCAAAATGAAGCAAAAATCTTTGTGGGTGAGAGGAAGATGATTTCAACATTCCTGTATTTTATATGCAGATTAGCACTGACAAAAACAAAAAAATCACAGGCAAATCATTTGCAAATTAAAATGTAATTATTGGGAATATATCTATGTATATGAATATATAATGTTTTTAAATGTTTTTAAAATGAAATTATCTTAACATTTTTTATTTAAAAACCTTTCAGCTTTCAGTTCAGTCCTGAATGCTCCATTGTTAGCAATAAAATAAAAAGTGCTGTGAGAGGACATTATTTGGCCTTTGCAAGTCTTAGCGCCGCCAACGTTTTTATTTTTTTCACATGGACCATGAATTGGAGAAAGGTTGGGAACTGCTGCTGTAGAATATTCGAATGATATTTTCACGGCTGTGGACTTGTTTCCCATAAATGTACAAAAATGACGTTTCTGCAGCCTTGTTTTCACTGACCCTGTGAACTGCGTGTGCTGCCTTCATGCAGTATTGAGGGAAAGTGTCATGATGTTTAATATGCACTTGAGTGGGTATTTCTATAATCCAATTTTCATCTGATTTTCATCCTGTTCATTTCATTCAAAATAAAAATCTGACACAGTTAATACCTTTATTTCATGCTAAAAGATAGAAATAGCTATATCCAATATTGGAGGGTTTATATGTAGAAAAAAAAAAGGATTTCTGCAGCTGCTAACATTCAGATAGTTTCTCTTCCTCGTAGGATCATGAAAAGTCTCTCTCAGAACGTCCAGTCACATTTCACCACCACACGATTTACACTGGTTTGTCACTGTGTGCGTTCACTCAGACGTGAACATTTATATGTAGGTGTGTGTGTGAGTGTGTGTGTGTGTGTGTGTGTCATTGCATGCATAATAATAACGTCTTCACCCAGGACCTCTGTATTTACTCTGCTGCCATGAGGTCGGCTGGAATCCAAATGTGCTTTAATGTAATGTGACCTTCATCCTCTTTGTCCTCCTCTCACCTTCACTCCTTTCCTCCTCTTTTCTTCTTGGCTCCTTTTCCCTCAACACTCAGTATTGAAGGTGCAGCTCATATTTATTTGATCCTCTCTCCACACAGTGTGATGAAAATGTTGGATGTTTTAGAAAGTGTCTTCAAACCACCTCAGAAATACTTTTAAGTATTTATTTCTTATGTTCTGTAACATGGGAGTCATTTTCATTTCATTCCACAGGTTTGTAGAACACTTTTTCCACACATGACATTTTCTCAGCAGCAATCATTTCAATTTTTTGGTGTATGTGTCATTTTATAATCACACTTGCCATTTTCTAATGGAAATATTTGTCTGGTTTATCAAATGATATTTTCATATCGGTCACTTAAAAACGCTTTTTTGTTTTGAGGATAATTGACCCTTTTTCCAAAAACAAAGAGGGAATAGAAATGACTCAGGTTCATGATATTCCTTTCTTCTTTAGACATACTTTGATGTTGTGAACACCGTTTTTTTTTTTGATAAATGACAATAATAAATGGTAACAAGCATCTCTTTTATTATGGTTTGGACATCTCATACACACTCTAACTCATCTTGTGTATGTCACCACTTTCACCCACTTGTAACATCCGCCTAAGGTTTCTGCCTCTCCGAGGTGTGGCGACATCACATCCTGTTGACACATTATATGCTGTGGATGCAATGTGAGTGGTCGCTGTCGTTGTGTGTTTGTGGGACAGATCCGATTGGCGGAGGTGGAGCAGGCGTCCCTGATGTCAGAGCAGCTGTCAGACAAGTCGTCGTCTCCGGCGCTGCCCGATGACCTCAGCCTGGACGAACACAGCAGCTACCAGCTGCTGGTCAGAGACAGCCAGGTACACACACACACACACACACACACACACAATCACAATTATTGATCTTATATACACAGGCCATGTGACAACATGTGTGCCTGCTTGCATGATAAACACATCAGATATGTACGTAGCTGCGGGTTGGAAATAATGACGCCTAGTTCATTTAACTTCAATTACAATATTCTAAAAGGTGAAACTTTTACCCATTGATGCCAAAAGATTACTGCCTACCCCAGCTTCAACAATCAAATATGGGTATGATGTCTGTGTATATTGTGATATATATACTGTGTATGTTCCCATCAATACAGTGTATGTACAGGGAAGCAAACTATGTATGTATGTGTCTGATTGTACTGAATGTCATATCCAGAAATGACTATTTCAGCATCTGTACACAATTAGATTAGCAAATTAGTAATAGTCACACACACACACACACACACACACACACACACCCACACACACACCCACACATGTACATGTCAGGACTCTGAGGAGTCAAATCACAGCTCATGTCATCACAGCTCCTCCATCTTTTCCCTAATCACCATTAATTACTCTTTACATGCTTTACTGCCTGATTAAAACAGATGCCTCCCTCTGAGTTCTTGATATGAGCATGCTGGGATGCATGCGTGTGTGTGTGTGTGTGTGTGTGTGTGTGTGAGCAGATCTTTCACATCTCCATCTTCCCATGAACACTTCGCTCCACGCTCACAGCCTGTTCCACCTGGCCCGTTTCATCACTGCGTCATTGAAGGCCTGATCATTTGATCCAGTTTACAACCGACAACAGCAGCCGAGCTATTTGAAGCTTTGAAGCCCGCTGTTACTTTCTTTTCAGCACATCCAATTTTAATCAGATTTGTATAGATGGATAAAGGAAGAGACATGAAAAGGGGAAGGGGAAGGGGGGGGGGCTTTTTGAAATTGGAAACAAATTGTACTCAGATTTCCATTATGACAAGGGGAAATGAAAGGCTTCAGTTTGATATCTTTCTTGCTCCGGTGAGCGTCGTTGCACCTGGATATCATGCTCTTTTCTGTCTCCATCTCTTTGTCTCTCTTTCACTCACTCCTCTGTTTTCGCCTCTTTTTTCCATCTCGCTCTCAGAGGGGCAGCAGTGACTCCCGCAGTTCGGAGGAGTTGCCCACACGGAGGGGCTACAGAGGGCTCCGTCCCTCCAGCTCAGGAAGCGAGGAGGGGGTCCAGGAGTTGTTTGAGGTGGGCGTCCATCCTCAGTTGAACCCTCCCTCGCTGGAGAAGCAGAGCCCGGCACGTTGCACAGGTAACAGAGTACACATGATGGTACAACAGAGTATTAGGGCCACACTGACGGAAAATAAAGTCATAATTTTGAGAATAAAACCATAATATTTCAAGAAAAAAAAGACATGAAAATACGAAAATAATGTTGTAATTTTATGAGGAAAAAAAATCAGAATATTTCAAGAAAAAAGTTGTGATATACCAAGGAAATGGGTCACATGACAGAATGTCAGTGACATAAAAATACCACTTTATTCTCGAAATTTCAGATTTTGTTTTTCCTCAACGTGGCCCTAATACTCCGTCGTATGATGGCAAGAGAACACGGGAATGTAAATGATAATCTGAGTATTTTTCCTTCACTAAAATCAATTTTTTGTTGATCGTTTATCATTCCGCACCAGCGAAAAGGTTCAATTGAATCTTTCACATTAACCAGTCGTATTAGAATAATCCCTCTCAGGGTTATCCTTATCAGGGCTCTGTGTGACCTTCACTGGTATTTAACCACCGTGATTTCATTAAGCCATGACTTTGACACGACATTGATAGTATCATTTCAAAATAAGAGGAGGATTTTTTCCGAGCGTCTCTGGAGTCGAAGCAGGCGAACAAGGACGTGTCTCACATTCCACACAGTTGATTGACTTCCACTGCAATTAGAGCAGTGATAGATGAGGCAGACACAGAGATGTTGATGAATGACATGTTATGGTATGTTGATGGCTCATTCCCCCCCACCCCACCCCCACCGCACCCCCTCCGGTAACATGGCCGTCATCACTGGAACAGATGGAGCCATATGAGGCAAAGTCAATTCAGGGTGACACAGCTCACAGAGAGTTGTAGACAGGATGTCGCTGAAGACACAGCGGAGTTGTTTAGTTGTTTGCATGTGTCTGACAAAACAACTGAACAACACATCACAACAGGTAAAATATTTAACTTCCTATAATTATGACCCTCTCTTTTTTCAGATGGTGATGGAGGAAGTTGCAGTGGAGGTGGTGGCGGGTCTTCGCCCGTCTTCCACCTGCCAGCAGACTTCTTCCACCCAGCTGCCGCCGCTCATCCGGGCAGTCCCGGGAACAGCGTCAGCCCAGGAGACAGGGGGCCGTCCAGGTTGGCCTCCCCAGCATCCTGGGCCTCCCTTCGCTCACCCGGAGCCAACAGCAGGCCCCTGAGCTCTCAGGTAATATTGGCAGATGAATGGATTCATATGTGCCTGGATGGTTGGATGGATAGATGAATAGAAAACCGACACCAGTATTTCAGTGCAACACATCAGAGACATGATGCAACAGTGTAAATAGATGATTCCTGAGAGGACGCTCAGTGAACCAAAGCTGTCATGCGTCAAACACACATGCAGTCAGATGGGATTTGCCAAATGAGGGATAATGTAGAGTGAGCTTATGATCTGGAAGCTTGACGCTGTAACACGCTTTAATCTACAGCTACACACAATAACAAAGGCACTAATCACTGACTCAGAATATTAATTTAAAAGTATTTTGTTATGATTTGTTAACAGTACATGAGGTTCAGCCTGTTTTGGGCACAAGGTGGCAGCACTTAATTTGATTGTGATATAACACTTTGAGGGTCCCATCTTGTATAAAGGTAGATTTCCATGTCTTTTTTGATTATAAAGCAGGCATAGGTTCTTTATTGATACTGTGAAAGTATCAAAGTGCTCAGTCCACAGAGAAACGCACTCAGCCTTCAAGGTGCCACTTTTTTTAATTTACACTTTTCCCATGTTTTATTTGAAGTGTTGATCCATAAGAAGATTTGTTGTTTTAAGAACCAAAAACCATCTCTATGTAGTTTTACATCTCCTCTCTCAGGCTTCTCTCTTGAGCTCTTAGTAACAACAGGTTGGTGAGCCAATCAGAGGAGAGTAGGCTCTGAGCCTCTCTTCTGATTGGCTGACTGTTTTCTGAGTGATGGAAAAAAAATATAGTAGATTTCAGGTGAAACACTCGAAATCCTGCAAGGCTGGATGGTGGGTCCAGATGTGTGGGGCTTGGGGCATGGCTGAGAGCAGTGACTGCTTTGTTGTGACATCACAAAGTTACAGAGGCCCAGACGACTTGTTTTAAGTCTCAGTTTCTGAATACAGGCTGTGTGCATTTCTCTGTGGACTGAGTGCCTTTATACTTTCACAGTATTATTTATCGAACCTAGACCTGATCTATCATTTTAAAAAACCACGGAAATATCACTTTATGCAATGTGGGACCTTTAAAACAAGCCGTCAGGACTTTAACTTTATGATGTCGCAACAAAATCAATGCTCTCAGCAATGCCCCAAGTCCTGCCCTACCGGAAATCTGCTATGATTTTATTTAATCACTCATTGGCTAACTGACCAGCTGTTACTGGAGCTCTAAAGAAAAGCTTTTGTTGCTCCACTTTTTGGTGCTCAAAATCACAAATATATCTTCGTATGGAAATCAAACCTTCAAATAAAACACTGGAAAGTGTAAGATATAGGACTTTTAAAGTGGAGCGCTATGATAAGATGAGAAACAGGAACTTGTGTGGTCTACCAATCACAACCTAAAGACTTATGAGCTGCTTCAGTGGCTGATCAGATTCTTTACCAAACTGTGAACCTACATGTGAAACCTACCACTTCCATTGATATCCTGCTGTAGTGTGAAACTCCGGAGAAACTATTTAGTTATAATTAAAGCCAGGAACTCATCCATATTGAATCTAACGCCTCCCCTCTGTTGGCTCCTGCATGAAACAAACCAATATGAAAAGGCCCCTTATTTTAGTTCTTGTTCCTGCGTAACCATGGAGACAGATTTCTCTTTCTTTCCCCGCTACCTGTTTGGTTTGTTTAGCTCGTGCCTGAGTGCCTCTGTGATCCTCAGCTGCTACAGTAATGCTCTGCGGCACTCAGCTAATTAGCCTGGCCAGCCCTGAGCCTGATACTGAGTCTGTGCACACTGTTGTTCTTGGCTCACACTCCTCATGCTCTTCTCATGTCCCTTTTCTTCTGGTTCCTTTATCGCTTCACGTTTTTCTCTGGTGTTCTCCCTCTCTCTCTCTCTCTCTCTCTCTCTCTATGCCTCTTTTCTCTATCGTTCAGTTCTTTTTCTGACAATCCCTCCATTTCTCCTTTTTCATAATCTCTCGCTCTCCCCTGTGGTCTTGTATGCTGAGAGCTTGGCATGTACCAGTGCCAGCATTAGGAATGATGATTAACACCCTCCTGCCCGTGTAACATTTTGAATGAAACAAATGTTATATGATGCAACACAGTCAGGATAAACTACACAGTTCTGTCGCGCTAAAACTTTAAACCCAGTTTTAAACCAAACAACTCATATATTTGAGTTTTGCTTTAACTCTATGCCAAGATTAAAATCAACCCTGCTGCTCCACTGTTTGATATTCCAATTTAAACTTTTAAACAGTTGTGGTGGTTCTGGAACAACGGCTGCAATGACGGGCTACATGGAAAGAGCAAATTGAGCGCAGTCCCTGAAAAAAACAAAAACAAGGGAAGAACTCAACCCTATTGAGTTTTTTTTAATGCTCTACAGATTCAGACAATGATTTGAACTGAAAAAAAGCAAAAAGCAAAGCCACAGAAAAGTTGGACCTGAGAGGAAACATGAGAGTGAGCCGAATGCAATTTGGAGCTACATTCTCTCTTTGAGCCTCTTTGAGCCTCTTTGAGCGTTTCTGCCACGCCACTGTAACAAGTTAATACTCGCTAGCAAACCACTGCAGTGCTAGCTGTGTGAAAGGCTCCGGGGTTCAACCACACACGTATTTTCTTCATTTGCTTAGATTGACTTTTAAATGCAGATCACATGGGTAAACACAGACTATATTTGATTAATATCCACTTCATGCTCCTTTTGATACTGCTGAGACAGGATCACACCATTTTTTGATGAGCAGCATCTCAACCTGAGCAGAGGTCTAATTGAGCAGGATAAGTGAAAACACCTATGTGGGTGTGTAGGGCTGCGTTGGGGCAGTTAATAAAATAACTAGGTGCATTTTAACACTGTATTTTATGGAGGTTTAAACTGATATTCTACTTTGGTTCAAATTATTAAACCGAAATCACTCTTCAGAAACTTTAAATCTGGTTCAATCATTCACTAAGATTAACCCTTATTTTACTTTAAATCCTCTGTTGCTGTAACCCACAGTTTTCTTTTACCTGAGTGCTTCCTTTCATTTTCTTTCTCCACCTCCCTCCTCTGTGTGCAGCACCCGTCCCACAGCGACTCCTCCCTGGCTACGGGCAGTTCAGAGGGCAGCCTGCAGACCACTCTGGAGGAGGGTCTCAGCTTCAGCGTCTCCCCGCCTCGGGACCTGGATCTCCCTGTGCCTCTCCTCTGCCCCCTCCCTAGCCACAACCCACAGGAACCAGCCACAGGAGACCAGGGCAACCCTTTACTAAAGAGACGCAGCACTACCTTCACCCTCCAAGCCACCAGGGGGCACCAGAGGAGCCAGAGCAGCTGCGGCGGTGGCAGCACCAGCCCCGGCTGTCCCCGGCAAGACTCCATGGACCCCTCAGACGAGGAGGTGGGCACGGGGACAGGCGGAGACGGCTGCCGTCAGAGCTTTAACAGCGAACACTTGTCAGAAACACTGAACAGCCTCTCGCTGACGTCGCTGCTCACCCCGGGCTCTCTGGCACCCCCACTGGTGAAGAAATGTAACAGCACAGGCTCTCTGGACCAGACCAATCTATCCGCCCGCAGCAAAGACGGACGCCACTTCTACGGCATAGATGCCCACGGCTACTTGTCCAACCGCTGGACGGAAGGAAGGGCGGGTGGTAAGGAGGAGGACAGTGAAATCACAGGCTTCAGCATGAAAAGCAGCAGCCGAGCCACAGACACAACCTCCAGGAAAAACAGATGAAACACTCGTTGCCTCTCTGTAGTGTAACTCTTTCTACATTTGCATTTCTGGACCTTCAACAGAACAGGGAGAGACTTTTATTACGCGTCCTCTCAACCCAATGAAATTCTGAAATTCTGTCTCGTCTTTGAATCGTCTTTTCTCTCTCTTTCCTCCCTGGATCTGGCTGCGTGGGATCAGTCATTTCTCAAAAGATTACAGTTTCTTCTGAGATTTGGCATCCACTCATTTCCACAGGATATGTGGTTGCTGTTTGAAAGGACCTAACAGTAATGACAGGGGGAGGCTTAGCCTTTTAGCATCACCAGGATCCAGCCTGGCGGTCCTGGGGCTTTACATTTGAGCCATGCTGAAACATGGAATATTTGGGGAAGCCATTAGAGAGACGAGCGTGAAACCTCACAGTGACTGATGAACATTACTGAGGTGATGTTATTCAGATGAAACTGATAAAAAAAAAAAATTACATTTTCTCTAAGGAACAGATCTTGCTCAACCCAACGTGCCCTCAAGCTTTGTGCAAAAACAGTGTTGTCAATATTGGACAGATGGCAAAACCCTGAAGCTTCTTTTGAGGACGAACTGAACTTTGTACAGTTGTTTTTTTTTTTTTGTTTGTATGTTTGTTTGTTTGTTTTGTCACATCCATCGCTAACAGTAGCATCAGCCTTTTTTTCCTCTCTAGCAGATTCGGTGAGAAACAGAAAATGGAAAGGTCGCGTATTTTCTGTGTTCTTTTGCAACTTCAGTGTGTTGGAGTTGTGTGAATGTAGACATGTCTGTCTCTGTTTGTGGGGGAGAGGGAGACCAAGACAAGCAAGGCCAGCCTGAACACTGACGAAGAACCTCTTTGAATAGAAGAATGGAAATGTGACAGCTGCTGAGAATACATGTGGGTTGTTGGTGGAAGCGTTAGCCACTTTCAGAGTGGACTCTCTTTCTACAAACCCATGAAAGGGCTAAAATGTATTGAGGGCAGACCTGGGCCAAATACTAATGTAAAGTGTTTGAAAGTGTCAAGTATTACAAAAACAATTTAATATAATATGTACATTTACAACATACAAGCTTTACAACAGTTGGAGTCATCCGGTTTGTCCCTGAATTCTCCAGCTTCACCCACTGAGCAGCATCTCTGCATCAAACATTTGAACATTTGTTTCCTGCGTTAAGTGGCTCAAAGATGAAAACTTCTGTCAGTATATATGTATAGAGCTACAACAGGACACCGGGAATCATCTTATCCATCATTGCTGATCCGAAGATTCTTCCTTCTCCCGACCTGTTGCCGTTAGAAACCCAGACTGGGCTTTTAAGTCAAACTCACAGAGAGCTACAGAAACTAGGGAATACCAGTGTTAGTTGTCTGAGTAACTGTTGCCACTTGAAATTTCGTCAATTAAGAAAAAAAACTTGCAAATGTCGCATAAGAAGTGAAATGGAAACACCTTTTCTGCATTTAAGTCACATGACATCCAAAAACATTGCAGACTATTATGTCCCAAAACTCCCTGATACGTGGCCGCGGCCAGATGTAAGGGGTTTACCTTTCCGTCATTACGTGCCCCAGGCGACCTCGTTGCCTTCAGTTAAATACTATAACAGCTATTGCGGTGGATGCGACCGTCCCAACAGTTTATCAGATGCTGGAAATCCGTCGCCATGTTTAACTGGAATGATATCAAAAGAGGAGAAAAAAAAAAAAAAACAGTTTTATTTGCATAACATCACTCAATGGAAACGCAGACCAATCGCATTTGCGTTCTGTCAACTTTTGCAAAAGGAAAAAAAAATATTGCTTCAATTTTTGCACAAAACTGCTATAGGAACGCAGCTTGTGACACATACATTACGCTCAAGGCAATAAAACTAGATCAAATCAACAGCACCACAAACTACCCCCGGGTCTGTAAGTGTGCTGCTGGATTCGGAGCAAGCTGGATGACATCAGACTGCCTTCATCAGCATTTGCTGTTGTTATATGGCCCCAAAATATACCTGAACAGCTGTTAGTGTATGTTATATGTTCAGCAAGCTACTGATGGGAGACACTAGGTGAGGGTCTGGTGGGTGGGATTCACAGGTTTTGTTTGCTGCATGAAACCCAAAAGATTATTTGACTCAGGTCTGCTTGAGTGTAGCAAGATATTAGAAAAGTACCCAATACTACGGCAAGCAACGTGGTCCAAGGTGATGTAATTTTTAACTTTGGGCACTTGTTTGACAAAATGTAATGACCTATCTTATAACATAGTTGTGTCACAATCTTTTTAAAAAAACCCAGAGCAGGTGGACCTCAGGTGGACCTATGTGCACTCACACACACACACACACACACACACACACACACACACACACACACACACACACAGCTTCATACATAACACACACACGCTGTCTCACACACAAACAGCCACATATATCATACGAAGATGTCACTGTCAGAACACTGCAGGGTGTTTCTGTCGTGTGAGGCCAGACAGAAGAAACCTCAGTGTTTATCTCTTTCTCTACTTTGTCTTCATTCCCCTCTTATTCCCATTCAATTGTATTATCTCCCCTCCAAGGGAAGCCAGAGTATTAAATGACTATTGACCCCCCCCCCTCCTCTATTCGAGATATGCAATATGCTACAGTAGATGTACAGTTAGATGTATGAGACTCGTATAGATAGGCAATATGGTGAGAGAAGATTATATTTATGAATTCATGTATTAGAATAAAATGTCACTGAGATTCAAAGGTCACTGAAAGGATGATGATGTATTCATGTATTCCAGAGTGTTGGAATGTGTGTTTTCTCTTTTTCCCCTCCATCTCCCCCGAGCTGATTTTCTTTCTCCAAAATGCATGTGGGTTCTTTTTTTTTCTGTTTTCTCAATGTCATTCTAGTGTCATATAAAAGTGAGATAGATTTTCAACAGCCTCTGACTCCTGAAGATGTTCTTTCAAAATAATGGTTGCTGCAATTTATTTTACCTATTTTATGTTTTCTCCCTCAGGGTAGAGTCAAATCTTAAAGTTGGTTTCTTTTACTTTTTTTATTCCCGGTACAAAAAGCTTCATTTATTTTATCAAACTGTGTTCCTAATGTTATGGCCAGAAGCAAAATATCTAAAATTATTTATAGCGACATATCCTTTTAAATTCAATTAAGCTGAATGATTAATTCAGCCTGAGGCTTCAGCTTCATTTATTTTTATGCCCCCGTGCTGGTGACAGATCTGGCCGGAAGCATTACGTTTCCAGGTTGTCCGTTCGTACAAGGTCAAGGGTCAACTTCACTGTGTCATCATAATGTTCTGCAAAACCACCTTTAAACATTGTTCAACGCTGTAACTCAGGAACAGTAGGAGAGATTCTGACCTTATCTCACATTTGATCAGATACTGAATTGATGACACTAATATTGGTGCCCTTTTTGAAACTGCAGTGATGGTATAGCTGTTCTGTGCTGCCAGGCTGAAAGTCTTCACTACATAAATTATAAGTCTGGATAGACATGGATGTACACGTCAATGCCACAGAAACCGTTTCGAAGCTCAGAGTGAGCTGCTCTGCTGTCTCCATCTTGGCAGTGCCTGACTCCGCCTAACTCCTGGTTAATCCAAAAATAGACAAAAAGGTGGGGCACCCTCAATTATGCAGAACTTTAAGCCTTAATAAAAGTTTAACTGGTGAGTTATATAAAATTCATCCCCCTACAGATGTCATGAAGGAGGAAATTAGCTATAGAGACTAAAACTATTTTCTGTACCAGGCTGTAAACATGTTTATTTCTGCTGTAAAGCTGGGCATTTTAACATGTGAGTCTGTAGGGATTGACTTGCTTTTGGAGCCAGCATCGAGTGGCCATTAGAGGAACCGTAGTTTTTGCCACTTCCATGGTGGCTTCATTTTTCTTGACATCATTCTGTTGCTGACAAACAAATGACATGGCGCAGTTTTACAGTTGTTGTCCAAAATGTAGGGCTACAACCAGAAGACTCATCTCTCTCCTTTGTACCTAGTTCTACTGTTGGTGGAGCCTGTTATGTTTGCCAGACTTCCCACTTTGTAATTTTAATTTTATATTGGGTCTTCTGTTTTGGCTGTTGTGGTTTACACTGGCTACAGTTGTTTCATTTGCTGTTTGGAAATATGACCGAGTCAAAATAATCAAATGTGCTGAATTTTATCCCCAAAGAGCTTCAGCTTCAACTCCATTTACACGTGTCACTTCAAGCATATTGGGTAGATCAGATAGCGACTGGATAAAGCTAAAGCAGGCTGTGGAAAATAGCCTCTACACAGACTGGCCCCTCTGGTAATGGCAGCTAAAGTTGCACTGAAATTAGCTGTCATTCTTTCTCTCTCTTGTTAAAGTGACAGGAAAAAGCAGCTCCAGCAAATTCAACTACTGGTCACACAGAGGGGATTTATCCGATCCCTGACCACCACCGCACACTCTGTGATGGGTGAAGGCGAAGGCTGAATCTGATCAAACTTTTGTCTGGCTCCTACTTCATAAATAGGATTCATTCATGTCTTTGTGTTTGTTTATGGACAGTTGTCATGTGGACACTTGAAATGATAAGTGTAAATTTTGAACTATTAAACTGTTAGTGGTGGGGTGTTAGAACTTTAACATTTCAGCCTGTTGCTCCAGCTCAGTTACACAATAAATACTAATTCTAATCCCTTTACATTAGTTAGTTTTCATCATGCCACAGTGTGTTGATGGATGAGATACTAAAATCTGTAGGAAACACTTGTTAACAGTCTTGCAAAGTCACAGTTTGAAGTCTGACAGCTCATGTTTTATTACTTCCTGTGCCTGAATTTGATGTTACTTTGGAGGCTCTGTTAACATCAGTGCAGTTCACACTCTTCAGTATTGGTCTGTATCTTGGAGTATACTGTATATTATGAGCTACAACTGAGTGGCCCTATTCTGAAGCTTTACAGCCTTCCCTCCACTCCACGTCTGGTTCTTACCTACAGAAATAACTGCAGGAGCA